ATATCAATACCAGGTATTCTATCACTGTCTACTCCAGATCCAATTACCTACAAAATCACGTAAAAAATGAAAGCCTTTTTGACAAAATTTCAGCTGACACAAATATATTGACCCTTAATCTGCTAATCAAAGAGAAATTGCCTGTTATAGTTATACAGGATTTTTTAAGTGTAAGTTTAAGTTAATTCTAATTTCTACCCAGTTCTAAAACCAAAATCATTGAGCTTGAAGGAAAATAGTTTTTGGTATTTTAGTTGTCTTTTTGGATTTCATTCCAGATTCGGTAATCTAAACCAGTCCCCCCAGCAATGCCTGGCAAAGATACTAACAGAGAAAATTGTACAAACAGCACTTAAAGTATTTCACGAGATTTATGGCAACAGAAATGAAGCGCTAAAGCAACTGTACATTCCTTCTTTTCAAGATCACTCTGTTGAACCAAAACCTGTAACCGGATAAAATCCAACCCCCGTCCTAAAAAGGAGGGGAAAAAAGAACCAAAAGAAAAACATTGAAAATGGAAACAAAAAATGAACCAATCGAAGTACTCAGAAAATACTAGATTTATGTTAATAGCTGCAATTCAAATCACTGCGCCAAGAGGAAAACCTCATCATACCTTTGCCCCATACCTTGCTTTTAACTCCATGTTGCCACCAGTGTGATCATAGTGATGATGTGTGTTCAAAATGTAAGTCAAATTGCGGTTGTTTCTACTAAGTGCATCTATAACAGGAACAGCTTCAGAAGGATCCACAACACCAACTGTTCCAGTATCCACATCGTGCAATAGATATGCATAATTATCCTGGAGACATGGTATCTGGCAATAGACAACAGAAAAGATGAGCAAAACCTATCAGGGTTTCTCAACATAGAGATGGAAAGCTTTGTTACACTATAAAGTCAAGATGTAGATTTCCTATTTGTGCTTTCTTGTTCAGAAATAGAAAGCAGAAACACATAGGGAAAGAAAGTGGAAGAAAAGCAAGAAATTATATTATTTTTTCTCAGCTAGTAAATCTGCTTCCTGAAAATAAAAAAGCACGAAATTTCCCATCTTTCCCACCCAAAATGAAAGTAGCACACTACCATTTCTGTGAGCTGAGACTTAGATATTTGATTATTTTGTACTAGCAACACTAGTGTAAGAGCATTATGCCTTTCTTATGGTAAAATTTATACAAAAAAGATATTACCCAGTAAGAAAAAGACGAACACGTCTGCATATCAGAGAATATAAGGCGCTAAAGAAAGGAATCCCATTCAAGAAGTTCATCGAATTGTTCATACAAGTTGGAATGTCATGAGCACGCCAAATAGATTCAGTCTTCAGTTCAGTCCCTACAGCTATTGTTAATGCCCTTGATAGATCTTCCGTTTCAGTCTTCAGTTCACTCACTATATATATATATATATATATATGTTCTTTTTTTTATAACCGTGGTGTCCGGACCAGCTTGCCTCTCGAGTAATTCCACGGGATACCTGCCACCTCCCACCAGCGACAAGTACTAGTTAACTCTATCCACCAAGGCTCGGATAAATGGGACAAATTACTTAGCGTTTTTTGCCTCCACTGGGATTTGAACCGGAGACCTCATGGTTTTCACCCACTTCATTGACCACTAGGCCACACCCTTGGGTGCGTTCAATCACTATATTATAGCCCACATTTTACAGCATACTGGACAACTACCCAACTCCTCCTATTCAGGCCTCTAGAATTTCAATAATTAACCAGTTGTGCAGCAGTTACTTCAGAAACGGTGGGTAAAAAATGCCCATCATATTCCAAAGATGTTGAACATCAAGATCCATCCTTTGAAGCTATCTCCCACGGAGCAGGTGAACATATGATAGACAAGCAGCTTTGCTATGGCAACTTTCGAGATGTCACTTAGTTATACAGATAACTCTCAGGAGGATCTGTTAATTAACTCTAACAGCTGACTATCATCAATTACGGTGATCTCAGGGGTATACAAAGGCCATTAATACCAAATTGCAACACTACCCGTCACACTTGGCGTCTTCATATAAAGTAATCATTTTTGCACATTACCACGCAATAGGAAGGTGTGGAGGTCGAGTATTAGGGTTGTGGGTTGACAGGTAGTCGAGAGTTTCTCCTAGTCTCACCAGCAGTATTAGTACTAGTTTTAGTTTACTATTCCTAATTCCTTGTTTGTACACCGTGTGTCATTCTTACCGGTAGTATCAGAACTATTCTTGTATTTTCCTATTCCTAAATCTTTGTTATTACATGGTCATTTGCTTTCATTGTCCTATTACATTGTTATTGCTATTGTTTGTTTATTGCTCCCTTTTCTGTTCTTGAGCCGAGGTTCTACCGGAAACAGCCACTCTACCCTCATAGGATAGGGGTAAGTTCTGCATATAAACTACCCTCCCCACACCTCCACTTGTGGGATTTCACTGGGTTTGTTGTTGTTGTTGTTACCACGAAAATATGCTCTTCTTACTGGTCTGCTCGAACAATTTTAAACCCCTCTAGCATCAGTACTTTCTATCTCAATCACTTGTTCGAGATAAACTTACAAAAGAAAGAAAGGACATTCAGCAATGTTCTAAAGCCACTAATGGGTGAAATATTTTTCCATTGAGAGGAAAGAATAATTAAATGTCTCCAACACTAAAATGACACAACAAATAACATTATACGCACATAAAATGCATGTTAATGAGGACTCACCAGTTCGATTTGCAAACTAGAAGACGTACTGGTAATGCTACAGAGATTAGAAACTCCAAGCGTCCGACTAACTCCACGTATGGTCTTAAACGGCATTGAGAAAAGCTGCATAAATCCATAGAGGAGATTCTTCCTAAGAGAAAGCTGTCTCAAACCAGGCCATACACAAACCCCTGTCTGAGTCTAAGAAAACCAACAAAAAGAATTAAGTCAAAATGCAAGCCAAAAGATTAAAGATCTAAATACTAATAAAAGCAGCACATGTAACTAAGCCACCACCCCACCCCAACCCCAACCCCCCAAAAAAAAAAAAATTATGAAGCAGAATAACAAAAAGAGTCCCACAAGAAGATCAGATAGAATCAGTAAATAACTGACGGAGAAGCAATTCTTGTAAAACCTTAAACCTTAAAATCTCAGACCAACATAGGAATTATCAAAAGCTAATTAAGGATACAATAAAAAGTGAAAAAGATCCCAACTTTAATACAAATCACTCCTACATTTATATATATCGGTACTCAAATTACACAGTTGGTGAAGACTTCACAGTAAATTCATAACTAGCAAGGAAACATGAATTCAATTTAGGGAGAGCAAAAAACACACGGGCGAAATAAATTCATCATTTCTCCAATTCACTTCAACTATTTTCAGAAACCGCAGAATACTTCAATTCATCCACGCCAAATAAAAAATAACCATAGTCTTCCAGACACATAACAAAGCTGTACTGTAAGTCGTAGTTTTAGAATACTCTACAAATTACCAAAAATATTTAAAGAGAGCTATGTACACAAATTAAAGGGGCGGAAGATAGAAAGGGAAAAAAAAAAAGAACCTTAGAACAAGGGAAGGAGGCCATGGCGGAGGGTGCAATTCTACAGAAGGTTTGCATAATTTCGTATTTGCAATAAAAAAGTTGTGTAGAGGAAGGCAACGGTGGGGCTGTCGCACGCTTTCACACACCCACTTTGTTTTTCGGCTTTTCGGAATACTTTATATCAAATTGCTAATTACTTGCAAGGCATACAAAAATCTTCTTAGAATATGCTCCCTTTTCTATTCTTTAAAAAAATATTTTACTTAATCTTATTTTGTTATTCCCACCATATATACTCTCTTTGGGATACCGATTAATTCATATTCAAGTCCTATACAACAATCACCACATAGTGAGTTACCACATGGCTTAATTCCTAAGTACCACGGGTTGAGATTTGAAAGATTCTATACATTTTATCATGACGTCAATAATAAAAAATTTCGTTAATATTAGTTAGTTAGTGCAAGTTAATAGAACTAGAAATCAAGTACTTTTACACTAGAAAAAAATTATTCTATGGCTTTGATTAACTCTACTTATTACTTCATTTATCCAAAAGAATGTTTTTCTTCTTCTTCTTGAGCTTAAAATTAAGTTTTTGACCAACATTTTAAAAGTCAACTTACTGCCTATTTGGTATTAACGAAATGCATTTTTTTTTCTTTGGTGACACATAACTCTGAAGTTGTAAGTGGAGGTACTGAGCAATCCATCTCGTCAACATGGGCGGAGCCAGAATTTAAAATTTATGGGTTCAGGTTTCTAAATTTTTTAAGTTACTGGGTTCTAAATTAATAATTTATACATGTACAATAAATTTCTTAAAACAAATACATAATTTGAACGAAAGCTATTGGGTTTGATCGAACCCGCAAATTATACTCTCCCTCCGGCCCTGCTCGTCAACGAAATGCACTTATTGTACGTGCTAGTGAAAAATTTATAAGTATGTGGATAGAATAGTGGCATCAATTGATCGGGAATCAAATGTTAATTTACTAAAAAAATGAAGGCTTAATTTTGTACTTAGAAGGTATTATGTATTCAGTGGATGTCCACGTGGGGTCATTAATTACCTCCAAAGTGGAGTATGAATTTGTCATGTGATTGTGCGACCTCACATGAAACGTGTCCCCATTAACCAAGGCACACAGTAAAGGCCGGCATCATTAATAAAAATATCAACTTCTTATCTTAAATTATTTTGAAAAGCTAGTCTCTTGAGATTATTTTAAATTTTAGTGGATAAAATTATAGATATATTACATAAGAATTAGTTGAGGTGAGGATAAATTGACTCAACAATCAAATAACATCGTTTTGTTATAAAATAAATATCGTAAAATAAACACAAGTATAGAGAGAAATTGATTTATTATTCAAACTTCAAACTTATATAAATAATGTACTGAATTCTCTTATATTTATAGAAGAAAGGAAGATGTTGTGTAAGATGTCACTGCAAGCTGCTGTGTAAGCTGCTTGTAAGCTGCTACTGCAAGCTGCTTGAAAGTTGTTGTTGTACCAGATATAGATAATCTTCTACCATTAGTAATATTTATCCATAACGGAGTAGCGAAAGGATAAACTTCTTCAGGAAGCTTATTTCCAATAGAGTACTAAGCAGATAAATATATTTACGGCGGAGTCTCATATGGATAAGCTTCTTCAGGAAGCTTATTTACAACGGAGTACTAAATGAACATCCATAATATAATATATTTATAACACTCCCCCTTGGATGTTCATTAAAAGATAATGTGCCTCATTAAAACCTTACTAGGAAAAACCCCATGGGAAAAAATCCTAGTGAATGAAAAAGAGTACACATATTTAGTAATACGCATAACTCGTTGTCTCATTAAAAAACTTATAAGGAAAACTTTGTGGAAAAAAATATAGTAAGGAAAAAAGAGTACATCACGTATTTTACTCCCCCTGATGAAAACCTTATTTCAAATATTTGAGTCTCCGCATTCCAATCTTGTATACCATCTCTCAAAAGTTGAAGTTGGCAAAGATTTAGTGAATAAATCTGACGAATTGTCACTTGAATGGATTTGTTGCACATCAATGTCATCATTTTTCTGAAGATCGTGTGTGTAGAATAAGTTTGGTGAAATGTGCTTCGTTCTATCTCCTTATAAATCCTTCCTTCAATTGGGTTATGCATGCAACATTGTCTTCGTATAAAATTGCGGGTCTTTTCTCTCATTCCAAACCACATTTTTCTCGAATAAAATTAATTATTGATCTCAACCATACGCATTTCCTACTTGCTTCATGGATAGCTATTATTTTAGCATAATTTGAAGAAGTGGCAACAATAGATTGCTTTGTGGAGCGCCATGATATGACAGTACCTCCACATGTAAACACGTACCCGGTTTGAGATCTAGCTTTATGGGGATCAGATAAATAACCTACATCTGCATAACCAATAAGATTTGCACTATCTTTGTTAGCATAAAATAAACCCATATCAAGAGTTCCCTTTAAATATCGCAATATATGCTTAATCTCGTTCCAATGTTTTCATGTAGGAGAAGAACTATATCTTGCTAGCAAATTGACAGAAAATGCTATGCCAGGCCTTGTAGCATTAGCAAGATACATTAGTGCACCAATTGCACTGAGATAGGGTACCTCGGGACCAAGGAGTTCTTCATCCTCTTTTGGAGGTCGAAACAAATCCTTATTCACTTCAAGTGATCGAACAACCATTGGTGTTGTCACGACCCAAAATCCAACTAGTCGTGATGGCACCTAACCCAACCCGCTAGGTAAGCCAATTACCAACTATCCAATTCCAATAAAATTAATAAAGCAATTAATTAAAAGAAAATAGATAAAACCAATACATTTTCTCAAGAACTGGTAGTACAAATCATGAGCTTCTAAGAATAGAATTTACAAAACTGATATGAAATAATACATCATCTGTTCGAAATGTACATGAACAGATTGTTATAAATCTAAGGCTACCATGAACAATAGGCAGCTACAACCGGAATGCAGGTACATCTTCATATCCAGCTCCCAACGAACACAGCAACATCAGCAGCCAACATCTGCACGCAGGGTGCAGAAGTATAGTATGAGTACAACCGACCGCATGTACTTAATAAGTAACAAACCTAGCCTTAGGTTGAAAGTAGTGACGAGCTTGTACCAAGGTCGGGTCCACAACTAATAGTCCACAACAGTCCATAACCAGGTAAAGCAAATAATACAAGTATTAACTCAGAGATAAAATGCTCAGCTAAATCATGATTTCAAAAAAATAGTTCTTCCTTTGAAGTACATGAGTGGAAACCCAAATCGTTTACCGAAGTTGCCAAAAATATGAATAAGTTTGAAAATAATAATTTTCCAAAAATTATTTCAATAATAAATGAGATGTTTCATTTTCTTTTCAGATAACCCGTGTAAAACAAATGCATCACTATGCCCATCTGTCAACATGTGTAAGAAATCATGAATGATGTGATATTGTACAGTATGAGGAAAATACGTCTCTATGCATGCATGTTATATGTGCATGTCAATGCGATGCAACTCAGTGATAAAATCATATGCATACTCTAATAGTATTATTTCACTCAGTCATCCCAGTCACCTAGTCCTCTCAGTCAGTCAGTTCTCCCAGTCACTCAGTCCTTCCAATCGCTCGACACTCAGCACTCGACACTCGCACTCAGTAGGTATCTGCGCTCACTCGGGGTGTGTACAGGCTCCGGAGGGGTTCCTTCAGCCCAAGCGCTATAATCTGCACGGACAACTCACCTGCTGCACGGACAACTCACGTTTTATAGTATCAATATCTGTATCTTCATTGACAACTCACGTGCTATAACAAATCCTATAAGGCCTGCTGTAGGTGAGCAGTCCCGATCCACATAATAATAAAGTATATAAAGCCAATATAGCCTGCTGCAGCGATCCCATAATTATCCTCACAATCAGGCCCTCGGCCTCACTCAGTCATCAATCTCTATAGTCTCTCTCTCATGGGCTCACAATATCATAAAAATAGCCCGAAAATGATGATATGATGTATCAATAAATAACAACAGAGACTGAGATATGATATGTAATGACACGAATATGACTGAGTATAAATTTTCAAATTAAAACAAATAATTCACAGCAATATGACCTCTGTGTGTCCTAATAATACTGTCACATAGCCTCAACATGATTTTTAATATGATTCTCAGCTCAATTTCCTTAACATAAAACTACATAGAAAATGCCAAGATTATTTGACTACAAAATTCCACGAAAACAATTATGTCACAATTCTCATGGTGCACACCCACACGCCCGTCACCTAGCATGTGTGTCACCTCCCAATAATTCACATAATACATATATTCAGAGTTCATACCCTCAACTCCAAGATTAGAAGAGTTACTTACCTCGAACAAGCCGAATCCAATGTCGAGCAAGCTAAACAATGCTCCAGAAATTCCATTCTGCGCGTAACAACTTCTGAACGGCTCGAATCTAGTCACAATTAATTTGATTCATTCAACCCAAATTATAGGAATTTATTCCATATCAAAATACTAATTTATCCATAAAATCCGAAATTACACTCAAAAATCGCTTGTGGGGCCCACATCTCGGAACCCGACAAAAGTTATAAAATATGAACGCCCATCCAACCACGAGTCCATTCATACAAATTTCACCAAATTCCGACATCAACTCGACCCTCAAATCTTCAATTAAATTCATTGAAGATTTTTACCATTTTCAACCCAATCTTTACCCATTTGAACTCAACAATCTTTCCATAAACCTTATTGATATGTATAAATAATACTATTACACCCAAAAATCATACTCTTAATTACCCATCTTTACCCAAACTCGAAATTGAAGACTAGGGGTTAGAACCTTACCTCTTGGGTGAAGATCTTGTGATATTTCCTTGTTGGATTTCAAAACTTAAACAAGATCTTGATGAACAAAGCACTTGAGCTTCTTCCTCTCTCTAGAACACTTTCTCTTCTCTCTAAAAATGTCAGATTTTTGCTCCAAAATGAGTCCCAAAGCCTATTTATCAAAATGGGATCGGGTTATGAAAATATAAAAATTAGCAATCCGAAAGCAGGTCCGCGGTCGCATAATGGAC